AATTCACTCCTGTTTACGGACCTTCATTTCCAATACTGCAAGGACGGCTACAATCTTGAATTGTGACAATACACGAAGACAATGTTCCAAAAAATACAGTAATCAATGCGTTGAAACAGATCAATTTTGGTCGTTACTTCAAGTGAATGCCCAAGCTGCAAACACTCGCTGAAACGTTTCAAAAGGCAAGCTAAAAACAAAGTCACATGACCTCTAAAGGCGGGAAAACAAACGAAACAGGGCACCCATCCACTACACCCCACCCCATGCGAACTTCGTGAAGCATTACAAACACAAAATAGGCATGGGTTCCCACGCCTACTAAGTTCAAGTAATAAAGGAATGTCAATCAATATCTTTGTCACTATTCCTATACTTGTCTGTCTCTAATCTCGTTGGAGATTTCTTGATTCTTCCAGCAAAGTTTCTGTATAGGACGTACTTATGTGGTCGACGTGCCCGTTTTCACTACTACTGTCCGGACAAGCCTTACTCTTCCGGGAAGTGTTTTAATGACTCGACCCATATGCCACTGTCCTCTAGGTAAGCAGTCGTCCACTAGTAGCGCAAGGTCTCCAATCTCAGCATTCCGGCAGGGTCGCTGCCACTTCTGTCTCTCCTGTAAACCTGAGACGTACTCCCTTAGCCATTGCTTCCAGAAATGATCAGCTAGAACTTGTGCCTGTCTCCATATCCTCCTAGCAAATTTGTCCTCTCTTACAAAGACTCCAGGAGGTAAAACATGAACAGCCTTCTGAAGCAGCAGGTGGTTAGAAGTCAAGGGTTCACAATCATTTGGGTCATCTGACGCAGCGCAAAGTGGTCTAGAATTCAGAATAGACTCAACTTCTGTTAACATAGTTGTTAATACTTCTTCATTTACTAGGCTCTCACCGAGTATGGCCTTTATGGCTGTACGCGTGCGACGTATTAGTCTCTCCCAGACTCCGCTAGCGTGTGAAGCCTTTGGCGGTTGGAACGCCCACTGACATCCCTTCTGAAGTAGTTCGTCCAAGACCTGTTTCTGGTTCCAGTCTTCTATCGCTTCTCTAATTTCCCTTTTTGCACGACAAAGTTTGTCCCATTGTCCAAGTAAATACACTTGGGTGGGCCTCGTCGATTCATGAATCTTTTTCGAACATTGATGAAGCAGTGTGACTCTAGAGAAGTAGCCAGTTCCAGATGCACGGCCGTAGAATTCAAACAGGTTAATATGACACTCCATCTCTTCACCACGGCTCTCCCTCTTTTCATGTTTAACGGTCCAAAATAGTCGACGCCAGTGTGATTGAAGCA